CTGAATCTAGTTCATTTAGGATTAGGAGATGAAGGTTGATTGAGTAGTTCGAGAAAAAAGCAATATTAAGTCTGGTAGTTTGTCAGGCCGTCAAAAGGTTGGTTGAGACCGTGGTGATATTACGTATAATTTATTGTTCAGATGCGGATTTGAGTAACTTGTTGCCGTTTGAGTTTGTTTTCTAATGGCCTCAGGTTTGATGCTTAGAGTTGAGGTGCCCTAAAAGTATACAAGTTTGTTTACTTTTAAATAGTTCATATATTATGTTTTCATTTAGGATTTTTTTTTATTAGGATGATTGTATGCTGAGATTATTTTTATTCTTGTTTTTCTGTAGGCATTATTATGTTGATGGTTAGATTCTAGGTTAGACGTCTTAGGGATGGTTAGGTTAGTTGGTGATATTTGATATTTTTCTTAATTAATATTTCTACTCCACCTAATGAATGGACGAAGCCTTTGCCTGTTCTGTATAATATATTAAAGCTGTTAATTTTAAATAAATCATTATTTGTGAGGTGGGTGTCAGTTATACAGGCATATCTATTTTGTATCGTAATACAATTCTATTACTATAGATTTGTTTAGATTTTATGACATTGGCATTCCATTTAACAAATTTGCTTTATTTGATGTTAAATGGTGTAATTGTTTTTGGATGGTGTTTTTAGATTAAGAAATAATTTATTGCTGATAGAGGTGAAGATAGATCTTATTGGTTTGTATATTTTGGAGTATGTTTTCGATGAAGTCGGAAATTTTTTTTTGTAGATTTTCGTTTAATAGTCCGTTAAATATCTTTTCTGTATTACAATGAGAGACGTTTATTTTTTTCTTTAGTAGTATTTTATTATATTGCATATGAGCTTGAGTTTATTAGTTTGTGAGTATAATTGTTTATATTACTTTTACTTTTTTAGGTTTTGAAGGTTGTTATCTATTGGATTGAAATTCAGGATTTTAGTTGATTTTTTATTCTTGATGATAATTAAAAAAACAAAACTTTATTATTTTTACCGCATCCTGTTAAATTTTTAAGTATTTCTGTTCAAACAATTTATTCACGTAGTACACTAATAAAATTATGTAAAAAACTCACAAACATAAAAGTCAAACAATAAACGTCTATAAATAGCTTAAAAAACGTTTAAATGTTTTTAAAATGTGACTACGTCTAGAAAAGTCAAATATAGGTAGGTGTTCTCTCAAAATGAAAATTCTCTACGAATTATTTTAACTGAATGACAATGAAAAAATACAATTTAAAATAATGAAACCATTATTTTAGTAAACATTTCCCGTTCAAGTAAGATTTGTATAGTATTTTATTGAATTAATGTTTTAATAATATAATTGTTATTATTATAAAGGAATTGCAACAAGTTGTCAAATTGGGACGTGCTAGTGAAATGGCACGAGAATTAGCAATGGAAAATGGTTCTCAACAATCTTCAGATGCATTATTGTCAGATTATACACCTTCTATTAATAATATTCCTGGTCGCACTTCAAGAACACCATCTGTGTCTAATGATAACGTTTTATTGGTATTCTTAAATCAAATATTCTGAAATTAATGGCATAATATAACATTTATAATTTTTATTGTAAAGAAAAAAAATTATTATTGTTATTTTTTTTTCTAAATAATTTTTCTACAGAAATATTGCTTCAATTTTTGAATGTAGTTTCTTTTCTAAAAGAAAATTGTATCTATTTATTGCAATAAACAGGGAAGTTTATGACAATAACAATTTCATTATTTATGATTTTGATTCATTGTGGAAATTTAAAAAAAAATATATACTTCCAAAATATTTACTAAATAATTATCTGATGCTTTCCTGGATGTAGTACAATTTTCATAACATTCTGGCAACTTTTAAGTTCTATATAGTCATTTTAAACTTTTAAGGTGTCGATTTTTTTAAGTATTAGGTATAAACAGAAACTCATAAATATTTAAGAATTATTTAGTTATTTAGTTAGAGTATTAAATACAAGGTTCATTTTAAGTTGTACTTAGTGGTAAAACAAAAAAGTTGAGCTTAATGTAATACCTTTTTTTTAAGTGATTGAGTTTAAATGTTAACAAAAACCATTATTTTGTTTTAAAAACATATTTAAACAAACTTTGCTCGGAACATATTTTGTCAGCATTTCAAAATTACATACAGATAAACAAATTAAATTTAATGTATCCCACTTTCCATCGACAACCCATCAACAGTATTAACTTTTTTTTCATTAAAATTTTAGAACCTATAATATTATGTATTTTATACGTACTTAATGATAATTATGTTTTTTTGTTTTTGTAGGACGCACAAAATATTATAGCGCAAATACATGCAGGTACGCCTCTGTAGGGGTGTCTTAATACAAAGTTGAAAAATGTTGATTTTAATGGTGTTACCTACAAAAGCAATTATTAATAACTCCTAACACAATTATAGGTACTCTGTTCTTGCAAACTCCTAATGATGGTTTTCAAACACTACAAATTGTTCAAACCGAATTAAAACCTGATATGGTTACTTCCACTCCTTTAAGAGAAAAATTAAGTACCAACTATTTAGATTCAAAGGAAACAGATATCATAAATACACCGCAAGCTATAAAAAACTATCAACATCAAATGAAGGAAAAATTGAAAGTAGGATTAATCTAGTAACATAAGGAGTCCCGGGAGTATATTGGGAGCTTCCATCAGGTACCAGCATGGGATTCCAACTATGGAGTCCATGCAATATTAAATATTTTGATGTTCACTTATTTCATTGTGAATCATAGGGAATGCAGCAAATGTTTTTTTTTTTTTAAATTTAATACAAACATAATTTGTGTATAACAGTTTTAACTTTCCAAATTTGGTGTGGTTCAGAGCTTCCTGATGGAAATTCCATAGGATCTGACTGGGATTCCCTGTGTTACTTAAGTACATCTCTAAATCCGAAAAATGATTAATTGATAATTTAAATATGATAAATAAAATTTGGATACATTTATTTATATAGGCTGAAGAATTAATTAAACAAGAGATGATTACGATGTTTCATTATGATGCTGTTTGCATCATAAAGAATTGCTGTCTTCCTTCTGAAGTTGCAATACTTACTCAAAGTGGCCCCCATAAACAGCCAATGTTAAATAAAAGTCTGCATTTGGCGTATTTACAGGCACATCCATATCAACAGTTTACTGAAGAAGAATTTGAAAATGTAATTAAAATAATATTTATTTTACAAAAAATGGTGAAATATTGTTTTAATTTAAATATACTTTGCGTGTTTTTTTTTATATATAATATTTTATATTTCATACATTTTGTAGAAAATTTTTATTTCATTATGTAAAAAAAAAATTCCTAAATCAGTTATTTTAGAAACACAGTATATTGAATGTATATTAATTAATCCAATATGAATTATTATGGGTCAGTACTGTAAAAACTAAATAAACCACAATTAATGTTAAAAAATATATACATTTTTTTTAAATTGTAAATATTGTTTTAGGCGAGACAATTGTTGAAGAAAGAAATGGAAATTGTTAAACAAGGCATGAATCATAGTGATCTACCATTGGATTTTTTTACTCAATTTCGGTACGAGTGTTTGAGTCAAGTTTTATTCTTACCCAATAAAGTTATTTTTACAAGAGCAAATTTAGAGAGTAAAAAAGACCAGATTGAATCACTAGAAAAGAAACTAGAGCTAAAGAAAAATAATTTTTTAGAAATATCTAAAATAGCTGATAAAATGGAAAAAGAAATTGAAAAAAATCTCGGAGGATATCAAGTATGTGAAATAATAATTATTTACAATAGTTTTGTTTTGCATTTTATTATTTTATTTTTTAGACTCGTTCTCAAGGACTTATTAAACAATTGCATACCCTTGTTGATGAAATTGAACAAGCACAATTAAAATTATCAACATTTCAGTTTTTACAGCAACAAGAAGAAGCTATACCTAAACATTTACAAGTATGTACATTTACAAAACTTCATAAATAATATAAATTTATATATTTATTGTTTTAGTTTCTTTAAAATATTAAATAATGCTTCCAAAATTTTTATTTAGTTTGTTAAAAATAACTAATTATAACTTCTTATGANTCATTAACTGATGATGTAGACCGTCAAAAAGAACGAGAAAAAATTCTGCAGCAAAAATACTTGGATCTTGAAACAAGATGGAAAGAACTGCAAACAGGAAATGATTCAAATGATAAATAGTTATAGCTTATAATTTTAACATATATTTTACAAAAATTTGTATTCCATACTTATTTTATAGTATTATTTTATAAGTGTCTTAATTTGTATTTCATGTCACAAAAGTGAATAATTTTATTAGATTATCAGATTTTATTAAAGATTATTACCTAATACAAGTAATATAAGTATATTGACTTTTTATAGATGTGGTAAAATTTTCAAAAAATTCAGTGATTTAAAAAAAAATTTATTTGGTAATTAATTTATGGATAAAATTGTTTGACAAAATATAAATACTTGAAGTTTGAATATAAAGTTTATTATAAGTTGTAATTATTATTGTAGTAGTTTTTTTTTGTTTATATATAAATATTTGGATCATGATGATTATTAAAATTACCGCATTTCAAATATTTGAAGCCTATTTCTTATTATTAGACCTTACATCCCAAAAAGGGTGGTTTTGACTTTTTTCCTATCTTCAATGTTTTCATGTTTACACAGATTTATAATAATTACCCTTTTAAATCATCTAGCATTATCAAAATGTTCGACCTTCTGGAATTTGTCATGACTAAAATCATCAAAAGTTATTAGTAATATAATTAATTTTTCTTTAAAATACCCTGTTATAACAAGATGGAATTCATTATATGATTTCATATCACCATTAATTAAACATAAAGCAAAATTAAAGATCTTGACTAAAGAATTAGGTTTAAAGTATCAATTTAACAAAACTGACAAAAGTTATTTGACTGAATTTGTTTTAGTAATGAAACCAATCGCTTGTGCTCTGGGTCATCTACAAAGTGAATCAAATTTTTACTATGGCCATTTAATTCCTACTTTATTTTTATTAAAAAGTTGATTGCAATTATTAAAGGAACAACATTTGCGTTATACTTTCAACTTTATCGATCCATTAATAACCTCTTAAAAAAACGATTCAAACTATATTTTGATCTCTCCCCTGAAGTTGATGAAGTTATATTGGAATCTTGTTTTCATCCTACATTTAAATTAAGATTGATTCCTGAACACGATGAAATTATTAAAAATAGAGTTAAAAATCTTTGTATCAACACTACTGAAAAATATATAGTGAATTCTTCTCACAATGAGTCATCAGTAGATAATATAGACGATGAGGACTTTTTAATATATTCTTCTCAGGAACAGTGTTTTGATTCTAGGGCTAATTTAGAAGTAGTTCAGTTTTTTTTTTTAACAATAAAAATAAGGCATTAACATGTTTAGACAGTTATCCTACTGTAAACAAATTATTCACCAGATACAATACAAGTTTACCATTATCAGCTCCAGTCAAAAGGTTGTTGTCGTTTGCTGGATTTATTCATGCCCCAAATAGAGGTAATTTATCGAATGCTAATTTTGAAAAATTTGTGTTTCTTAAAGGAAATGATAGTTGTAGTTAATATTATTAACATAATCTGTAAATAATAGTGCTAATAATATGGACAGTATGATTGACTCATTTTTAATTAATTTTTAAAAACTAAAAATGTATTATCATTTTAATTAATATATTTATGCAAAAAAACTAAGATAAACAATACCCACTCATTTAAATTTATTTTTGAAATCTTTATACACAATAGGAATAATATTTTATATTATTTTTAATTCAAGTAAATATTTAATTTTCCAGTTAAAAATTTAAATTTATTAAAAATTATTTTATGACCACAATATATAGTTTTGTATGTATTTATATGTTTGTTACACATTATNACTATAAATATTGGGACTATTGGAAAGTATACGGTTTATGCATTTAAGGTACCTATCATTAAGTTTCATTGTAAAAATTCAATAATTTACTTTTAATGAATTTCTATAATTATAATTTAATTTATTTGTAACCTTGTAAACTTGTAACCTATGTTCTTTACTATTATAGGATGTTTGATTGAAGATTCAAAAAGGTTTTTTAAAAATATTTTTGTGCACTACTGTCTCATGACAGTAGCGGTTAAATTAATTTTTTGTGTTGGGGAGAGGAGAAGGATAATTGTTTAGCAACTATTATTACTGACATAATTTGTTTAAATGAAAATAATAAAACAGTAGATAATAGTTTTATATTATTGTAATTATTTAAGGGAGATGTGGTCACTGGGGAAACAAAGAATAGATATAAAAAAAATACACTTAGAAAACAAAAACATATGTGAACATATAAGGTAATCGTCGAAAATTATAATATCGATCCGTCCATTTACAGAATACACGTACATCTTTTGATTTGTAACTCAGGAACCGTATTAAAACCACATACGGATGTCTTATTATCGCAGACATCAAATTTATTCCGACGATTTAATAAACTGTATACCCCTTTAGCACAATATGACACTTTGGCCACGTTACCATATTCTTTCTTTCTGAAAAATAAATATTTTTTCGAAAAGTTAAAAATTATTGTTTTATAAATTAATATGTACTTTTTGTTATTTTGTGTCATTTGTATGTTTTGTTGATAAAAGTTTGTAATAGACAGTAATTATAAAATTATAGTTAGTAACTGATGCTAAGTTTAGATCATGAGATTATTTTGAGACATTGGGAGGTTTTAGAGGTATATAAACAGAGTGTATGTACAGGATTTAACAATTTCCGCAATTATGAAATTGTGAAATCCTGCCGAACAACTCTGTATAACACCTAGTTATTTTTAAATTGTGGAAAAGTTACTACGAATTATACGTATTAAATACCTTCTTATTTAGTATAGTTTCCCTTTGTATTATAAGCATTAATATTAAAACATCAAACATTATATTATATATTAAACATAAATTATATGGTGTTAAAATGATCAGTTTTTGGAAAATAAAAACATGTAGGTACCATGTACGTGTATGGTCTACTATAAGATTATAAGAGTCACTATTCAAATAAACTCCAAAACTTCGCTATGAAATCAATCTTATTGATTTTTTTTATTCGTATATTTTTTCCCCCTTTAAAGTATATACTCTCCATTGGAGTTAATGCATTCTTCTAATCTCATTTCCCATTGTTCGAAGCATCTTTGAAATTCATTTTCTTTGATATCTTTCAGCACTTCCAGCGTTTTTTGTTCGACTTCGTTTACTTCCACAGAATGTTTTCCTTTGAGGTACCTTTTCATTCGAGGGAACAGAAAAAAATCGCAAGGAGCGAGATCCGGTGAGAATGGTGGATGGGATAAGGGGATCATGTAATTTTTTGTATAAAACTGACGTACAGAGATGGCCGTATGGGCAGAGGCATTATCATGGTGAAAGAACCATTCACCTGACTGCCATAAATTTGGACGTTTATCCCGTACGCTGTTTCGCAATCGCTCCAAAATTTCCAAATAAAATACTTGATTTACTATTTGATACTGGGGAACGAATTCCGAGTGTACAATTCCTTTCACATCGAAGAAACATATCAATATTATCTTGACATCCGATTTAATCTGACGTGTGAAATTCACGTGCTTCGATTTACTGGACTGATGGTTTATTTCCGGATTATAACCGTAATACCATAGCTCATCACCGGTAATGATTTTTGAAAAGAAGTTTGGATCAGATTGAAAGTGGTCCTTTAACATACTGCAAAATTGAGTTCGATTTTCTTTTTGTAGCACTGTTAACAATTGCGGCACACATTTTTCAGCTATGTAGTTCAACAACAAAACCTCGGTTAGAATTCGTTGAACGGAGTTACATATTATCCCAGAAAGTTCTGAGAGTTCTTGAATTGTCCGCCGACGATCTTCGTACACGAGAACTCGAATTTGTTCAACATGTTTGTCGTGTTGCGAGGTTGATGGACGACTGAGGTCAGGAAGGTGGTCAATCGACAGTTCACCGTTTTTGAAACGCGTAAACCATTCATGAACTTGGGTTTTCCCGAATGCATCATCTTTATAAGCAGTTTTTAAAAGATTAACCGTTTCCGCTGTGTCTTTACCCAGTAAAAAACAGAACTTCACAGCCACTCTTTGCTCATGAGAATCAACTATTCTAAAAAAAATGGCAAACAAGAAATATAATATAACTTGTAATGGACAAAAATAAGTATAAAAAATATTATAACGCGCGCTAGCAAATCATCGGCATTGATAGGTATTAAACGTCACGACAAGGTCACTCCATGAGCATTTGACGACACTGCTACACTAGGCGATCTCCCATTTGCTGTCCCGTTCGGTTTGACGAAGCGGATAATATTGTGTGTGTAAATTGTAAAGGTATGTTTAATGAAGGAATGCTTGTCAGTATAGAAATCAATGGATTTATCGATAATTTTATGTAACGGCCGAAAGCCGCGGCTCGATTGTCTTCATCGACGACTATCAATTATCGTTCTAGTGAACGAACGTTCAGAATTTTATTCCGATAAAAAGTCCCAAGTTGGCTAAGTATTTTTTTTTTTTTTTATCAAATCCCCCGTGTGGGGTGACTACGGTCGGCTACAACTTTACATGCACGTATAAATATCCCTTTGTTAAATAAACCTTTGCTGGTGTCTCTAAAATTCTCACTTATTTTAGATTCTGAGTGGAGCGAAGAAACTTATGGGTTTACAAATATGTTTTTTTTTTTTAATTGTACACAAATTTTATACCAGAAGACTTGCTTGAATTTCTATGTGTAGCACCTTTTCTGAAAGGAAATCGGTGTGGGGAGGTCCTTTAAGAAGGTAATTTTTTGATTTTCTCAATAGTTTTATCATTAAATGCGAAGAGCCGAGAAAAAAGAGAAATTTTCGAAATATAATAAATATAATCTACGATTTTTTTTTTCTGTGGAAAACTTTTCTACCAGCAATTGCAATTTTGCTCCAACTATTAATGATAGTAATTTTTCTGAAAAAAAATTTGACTGGAAAGGTTTTCTAGGGAGGTCATTTTTTGATTTTCTCAGCATATGTGAAAAACCGAGATAAAACATGAGGAAACCTTGAAAAACGTAGGAAAACTGGGAAAATCGGTACAACATTAAACATATATTGTTAAAGAAAATATATAAAGCCTATTTAAATTATTTTACTAAAATATGACATAATATATATTATTAATAAGTATTACTATCAACTGAACTCCACTCAGAATCGTTTTTTCATAACCAATAGTTTATTGTTGCTTACAGGTATACATTAAATTATCTATAACAGTGGCTGCATCTGTCATCATTATCCTAGTACGTCTTTTTTATTTGTTAATGTTAATATTTCGTCTCGATCTTCATTGCGATCGGTGCGTTATCTAAATTCAAATATGTAACTTTGTTATTCCTTTCTCCTAAACGTGTACAAAAGAAATGCATTGTTATTTCCGTGTGCTGGTTTCCAATTTTATTTTAGCGCTCATAACGGTTTTAAAATAGGTACGAACTTTTGTTTCGATTTTAATTTAAAGCGATTTTATTATACCGTGACGTAGGTACGATTTATTTTCCGAAATAGAAACCACCCCTAGTGTCAATTCGATAATAAATTTTCCAACTCGTCAAGTTTCCAATTAGAACCACTATTTCGGACAACAAACATGGATCTATCCTATAAATTACGTCTCTAGATGGGTATAATTTGCAAGTGAATTGCGTTTTATTCGGTTATAAAGCAAAAGTCACATAAATGACATTTAATGACTTGATATACTTCCAATATCTAAACGAATTTCACACATTAGTAAAAATCATATTATCTGGAATACCCAACACAGTCATCAATTAATTTATAAAGTATTTAACCATGCATTCATACATCTTGCTTGTGTTAAATTTTATTCAATGATTGCAAGTGTCCTGGTATTAGATTAGATAATCTAATACTTTTGCAGATGCAAAGAGGGTGACAGCATATGACACGAAAAAGGTCTTGGCTGTGAATGCACTAACCTCTTTATATGCCAGAATCCAAATCCCAACAAGGTCAAAATCCTGAAAAGGTCTAAATCCACTGACAAGCATTTTGCTAAAATTTAATCATATGCCCCGTAATCTCACAAAGAGTATTTACTGAAGTAGTCAGATTCAATATAATAGGAACGGCTACTCTAAGGTGCAAAATAAATTCAGGGAAACTATATCTTAAGGGATTGAACGTCTCCACAATATATATTAATAACTTGTAACATTCACAATAGTCAATAGCGAACATAACTAACAATTTTTGGAATATTCTAAATTTCCAAATCACCTCAATTAAAACACAGTAAAATTGTTGAATTTATAGGCTTTTAATCAAATCAAATCCGTTTTCATAGTTGAAATTTGGTAAACTCAATTACAAGTATTTCATTTGGGTTTTCGGGTAAATATTAATTTTTTTTAAACTGCTACTTCTTTAATATAAAATTGGCTTAATAAATAATTTTAAGTCCTTATTTTATTATGGTGTACGTGTATTATTATTAGTTTTAAATATAATTCATATGTTTCGTTAATCGATTAAATGCAATTAATCTCGCTCCCCTAAATTAGTCCAGTTAGGCCAGACACCTTGGATATACCTCTCTAAAACACTCCTCCTAAACACACTGATTAACCATGGTGTGGTATATCCGTACAATAATCATATTATATTTTCCTCACCGGAATTCGTCTCCTTTTTCCCACAACATTAACTCGTTGTCGACCAAAAACGATTGTTGCGATCCTGCTATGGAACCCGGACGACACATTCTCATCCAGGCGACGGATTCGTGAGCCGTCATTCGGTAGTGCTGGATCAAGTAGGCCGCGATCATTGTTCCCGTTCTTCCCAGACCGGCCTTCCAGTACGTATGAATAATTTTTAATGCGATTACGATGAATGTAATGAAAAAAAAAAAAAAAATCTACTGACTTTACAGTGTACCGCTATTGCCCCATCGTGCCGTTCCGATATGTTAAGGAAAGTCTGCAAAACAACGTTTGACGGTGTCGAACCGTCTTTGAAATACAGATCAACGTGTTCGATATTGGAGTTAGAAAACCTATATAGGTATAACGGCTATTATTGATTTTTTTTTTCTTACGATACTATTTTACGATGATTTTTTTGAAAATTCAAAAAGGACACTTGCAAGATGTATTAGTACAAAAATATTTATTTTTTTTTTATTAATATTATCACAACATGTATATATATTCACCAAGAGCTATTATAATCTGTAGGTGAGTTCAGTCTGATCACTGTCCTGACGTTATTATTTTGGAAGTATTTAACGTAATATTGTAGATCGTTTCGCTGACCTGGATATTTTTCGATCGGACCCCGGAAGGCGATAAACTTGTCCGGCACTATCCATGTTAAATCACGAGACCGGTAATACTCTTGACAGCTAAATGTGTTAAAGTCCACGAACTTGTACTTGACTGCTTTGTAAATAACATTCAAACAATCGTACAGGTCAATGCACGTAGTTTTGTCGCCCCCGAAAACTGAATTATTCTGGTCAATGGTACTTTTTAATAGCTCATAAATGATTAACGGTTTCATTTGTTTTACGGAAATCTAAAATAAATAGGTAGCTGATAGTTGACCGAGTATAATATTTTTTATATTTATCATCATCATCATTAAGGTTATAATATAATACATATAATAATAATTAATCTGATAATTTTCCATTCAAAATAATTTATATTTATTTTATATTTTCTTGTTCCCCTGTCATATTCATTAATTATAAAGTATGCTGGAATATATGGAAAGCAGAAGCCATATAACGGTTCTACAACTACGCCTGCGCTGTTTTGGGAATAGGGTTTGGAGATAAAATATATAAGTGCATCAAGTTAACCAGCAGCACTTGAGGAAACGTCACAGAACAACGAGAAAACGAGTCCTGGTCAAAATCCGGTTGGCGAGGTGGAAACTGTTATTTTGTTCGTTTTTTTGTCCACGATTCGTCCGATTTTTCGAGATAGTAAAACAAAATATACAAACATATCGCGTTACTTCAGGAAGGCATATACGGGTTAGCGAATCTGAGTTTCTACTAGTGTAAAACCTAGGTGGATGATTCCAGTAGGTATAATATAGTATTGTTTCCGTAGAATGGAGGAATTTACCTTATAGTTGATAACACCATTCTCCCTGTGAGAGGGGTTTAGAACACTCCCATGGTACCACTATCTGTCGTAAGAGATGACAAATGGGGTAGTCAGGTTGATAGCCGGTATACAATTCTTTCAAACAGTATGAGGAGTTCTAATGATGTTTAGAGATGGTATAGCTTTAAAAGGAGAAAATCTGTAAGAAGTTAGCGATAGACTTGAGGAACGGAGAGTAATACTTGAAAGAAAGGGACTAAAGGATAAGTAGTTGTAAAACAGAGTATAAAGTGTATGAGTTTGGAGGAACAGATTAAGATAGCTAACGAGAATAAACGGTGACATAATAATCGAGGTTGACAGTTTTAAGTACTTAGGATCTATTGAAGAAAATAACTGTGTTTTTACAAGGAAGTGAAACATAGAATTATGTGTGGTTGGATTAAGTGGAAACAAGGTGTTTTATGTGATATGGAAATTTCAATAAGACTTATAGGTAATATAATATATTGTATATATTGTATATATTGTATGATTCGGAGTGTTGGGCGATGACCAGAAAGTGAGTATAGCAGAGATGAGAATGTTTAGGTGGGTAAATGTAGTGACGGGAGATGATAGGATAAGGAATGAGTATATAAGAGGTAGCTTAGATAGAAGAAAAATGACAGGAAATATATTGAGAAAGTTTGGGCATATCATGAGGAAAGAGGAATCAGAAGTAATACAAATTTTAATGAAAATAAACGTAGGAGGAAAGAGAGGGAAAGGAAGACAGAAAAATAGGTGGTTGGGTGCGATTAAGAATGATATAAGGATAGCCGGTGTATGTGAGGTGGGAGACCGGGTCAAGTGAAAGTTTAGGACGGGGTTGGCGACCCCATATAGTTGGGATGAACACGATGTAGAAGAAGAATAAAATATCGTGTGTTTACCGCGTAAGTGCCCACGAGTAGCGCCGCGTTGTTGTAATAGTCCCGACAAAGATTACTATCGATCGCACCGAGGCCGCAGTAGTGCACGAGGGTCTTGGAATGATACCGGTGATCGAACATTTTACCATTTAAACATTGGACGTATTCGGCCAAGCCTCCCAAGTCCAGCGGTATTCTGTCGAAACTGAAAAAATGTAATTCCGTCGTGTCTGGATGACGTCGGTGCTTCGAGTAAGCCGCAAAGTACACGCGGCCGACGACTATTTCCACGAGTTTACACAAGTCCAATACTTCGGACGGATTCGACCTAAACAACCGGTATGCTTTGTTGATTGGCATAGTTGGTTTTTCATTTATTTCTATAAAAAAAAAAAGTTTACCTACTCATAATAATGTTTATTTAAACAAACAGACTGACAAACATAGTTTCTGAAATGTGAAATAATTATTTCTTCCCCATTTTCTATACTTGCACTACTACCACCTAAATGTTTATACTTTTTGACTAGATTGATGTATTATTTTTATTTTTATCTTAAGGTTATTAGCACACATATTGATCGGTAAGCTGGAATAAAATAAAAATACTTCCAATAATCAAATTTTTATTTTGAAAAATGATTTTACTTCTATTTCTCTATACTTTGTAGGAAAAAATTTTATTTTTTTTCCGCGATACTTTAAAGTACGAGTTTATATTAAGAAAAGAAAAGTAAATTTATCGTGAATTAAGTAAATAAAACAACGAACAAATTTACAAAAATGTAAATTGGATCATGTTCGTAGACAAGAAATCAAAGAATTCAAATATGTTTTCAAAGTTGAAATTAGGCAAGCGGTAGTGGGTGAATTTCACTCTAACTCACAATGTGTTTGAAACGTCATATTTGTCAGCAAAAACCATTAAACCCCTTCCCCTTAAATGGGTATCGACTAGTAGGTAAGTGGATCATTAAACGTAAAATATAATTTTCAAATTTTATAAAATTGAAAAACATTTTTAAAATCACTTGCGATCGCTTTAACAGGAGGTTATTATACTAAAATTGATTATTATTATTATTCCAATACTATCTCAGTTACATAAAATATTTAATTTATGTACGAAGATACAATAATATTGGACGTTTTTAATTATTATACTAACCTGTAGACATTAACGCGATGTTTTATAAAACTCACATAATCGCTGCTTTAGTTGTCTAGTGAGGAGTTGTATTCGTTGAAAATTCGTCAATCGATTTACGATTTTCTATCGTATAAGTGTTTACATCCAAAGGACCTAATGAGAAAACGAAATTCGACAATAATTTTTGACTTAATCATACGTGACACTAGTGACATAGAAGACAAAGCGATAAATGGTCCAGCTGATTCACGCGATAATGAATTATTGAAATCGACTAACACGGAATAATGAAATATAACAATATCTATGGATGATTTGCATTAATCCTTGTGGAGAAAATATTCACTTTGAGCTTGCCGTTCATTCCAGTGGCGACTATAATTGAAGTTCAAAGAGGCGCGGCGAAATTAGTTAAATTTTATATATTTCTCCCACTCCTCCTAAAAAAAAAAGTTAGAAAAGTCTTATAATACTTAAAATAAAATAAAAATAAAATCAATCAATTATGATATCACATTAAATCCGTATCGCGTACAACTTGTAAGAATCTATGTCATTTCGTCGTGGAAATTTCGACACGCGTCAAATGGATGCGAGATAGCACATTTTGACGCATTATTTTTTTTTGTTTAATTATTATTATTGATTTGTTTTTCAAAATAAATGTATATATGTAATAATAATTTAGATTTTATTTAAATTTTATATATACATTAATTTTAAAAAATAACTGGGCTTAATAATATTAACAGGGACTGCGCACAATTTAAAATTGTATGTATAAGAAATACATTTTTCATTTATTAAGGATATTTATTTTATGATTAATAATAGTTTATTTAATTTTAATTTTATATATTTATTTTGAAAAATAAATCAATAATAATAATTAAAAAAAAAAAAATGCGTCAAAATGTGCCATGCGCCCAATTGTCTCACGTCAAAATGACCGCATCCATTTGACGCACGTCGAAATAACGTGACAACTTATCAATACATAAATAATTATCTCTCACTATCCGTTATCAATGCTATAAGAGAGATAATATATTCAAATTTTTGTCAGCGTACGTACCTATTAACTTTTTCCTTATTTCACTTAAAATTAATAATACAAATAAATATTGTAAAAAGCCGAGGTCCAAGGGCGTGACCTATTGCCACTTTTCCGTAAAACCGCTACTGCAGGTTCATCCCTGGAAAAAAAAAACAGTTACAATATTATTTATTTATTATATATTATTTATTTTTTATTTACCTTTATTTAAAGGTCGCACTGCCTACAACAATAGGTAGGTCCAACTTTAAATTTGAAAAATAGAACAGCAGCCTGCACGTACTTATTATAATCTACATATATAGTATGTAGAGTTTAATACACGTAGTCTACATCCTATGTCCTACATATAATGGTCTGCGAAAATAACAGATAAATAGTTGATGTACTGCACGAGTGTCGTTATTATTGTTATACACAGTTTCACAAGAGAAGGTACACGCTTCGCGCATCGGCGAGAGCACAAAGGCCGAATTTCTCCCACTCTACGCAGCGAGCGTCTAGCGAAAAAACGTGTAACTTCTTTTGTGAAACGAAGTTTAGTGAATTTATTTTTGTACACAGAAAAACTTGTAAAATAGCAAATAGAACCAGTGGCATATCCTGAATTTTTAAATGGGTGTGGGGAGGGGGTTAGATGAAAAAAGCCGTCCTAGGATAATGGGGTCTGGTGCAGCACTGTTATGAGTAATGTATACCAGTAAGCAATGATAAACTATTGCTAACGAAAAAACGATTCTGAGCGGAGTTCATTTGATAGTGATGATTTGTCAACAATAGACATGTCATATTATGGGAAAGTAATTAAATAGGTATCATATATTATCTTTAATAATAATTTAATTTACTGATTTTCCCGTTTTTGCTAACGTATTTTCCTCCTTTTTTTTTTTTCGGTTTTTCATATTTGTTGATAAAAATCCTGAGAAAATCGAAAAATAACCTCCTTATAGTACCTTCCCAGTCAAATTTGCTTTTAGAAACATTACTATCATTATAAATTAGAGCAAAATTGATGGTAGAAAAATTGTTCACAGGAAAAAAGAAGGTCATAATATTTTTAACTAATTCCTACATTTTTTACATTTTCCTATTTTTCCTTTGTTTTTTTTTGGTTTTTTACATTTGTCGAGAAAATCAAAAAATGATCTCTTTAAAATATCCCCCACACCGATTTCCTTTCAGAAAAGGTGCTACAAATAAAAATCGGAGAAAGATCTCTGGTAGAAAAGTTGTCCACAGAAAAAAAAAATGAAACATGTTTATAAAACCATAAGCTTCTTCGCTCCACTCAGAGTCTAAAACGTTACTAAAAAAAATAATAGTACATGTTTTCAAAATACATAATTATGAAGTAAAATTATTTGTAATGCTTATGTAAATCGTGAATAAGTAGTGTAAAAAGTATGCTATGATTATTATGCTTAACAGTTTATACTTTATTTTGTATTTAATGTAATCAATGGCGAGGGAGATAGTCTCCTTAGTCCACCCCTCTTCTCCTGAATAGGTCACTTTATGGACAAATTTCAAATATTTTAGCGAGAAAGAAATCATACTAAAAAATATGCGAATACAAATGCGAACTAACGCATGTTGATTATTGTTTGCAGTATTTCACAACTATAATAAATAATTAACAGTAATAATATAATAGCAGAGTATGTTTTAATTATATGCCATACATATAATAATCTTATATGCATGGTATATAACCAAAACGAGCAAGTTAAGTTGAGCAAGTTTGACGTTAAGAATGTTCACCTTGAAAAACGGCACACGAAGTCAAGAATTAATAATAACGACAATTATTATCTATACATCTATATATCTATGTAAAATAACATTTCCTGATTGACTGACTGATTCATCATGGCCTAGCACAAACCACTGGACGGATCGGGTTAAAACTTGGCATACAGATTGCTGTTAATATTATGACGTAGGCATCCGCTTAGAAAGGGTTTTTAAAAATGTAACCTTAAGGGGATAAAATAGGGGATTTCAGGTATTTTCGGTACAAATATTTAATTGTGCTTATTTATTTATTTTTTTTTTATTCGTGTATTATCTCGGTGATACGGATGAAATAACAATAAAATTGGCCTGGGCAACGCCGGACGGGATAGCTAGCGGGACGAGAAGATTTTCGGTATTTTTGGAACATTAATTAAATTTTATTTGTTTATTTATGGGTTACCTTGGTGAAATGGATGATAATTTGGTTGTCGAGGATAAAAATACTATTATTATTTCCACAAGTATCTAGCAATAGCAAAGCATTGTCGGGTCAGCTAGTATTATGCATTATTGATCGTAAATCTGTGAAAAATTCATTAATTATTATATAGCAGAGGTTCTCAATTTTGTATTTTCTCTGTAGACCATTTGCTTTTTTTTTTTTTCACAGACCCCCCTAATTTTTTTTTATGACATGGACCACTCGCAGGTCAGAATATATAGTCCATTTTGGGAACCTCTGTTATGTATGATGAATGACTGTAAAAAAAAGAAAGAAAACTACAGTTTGTATCTGCTGTAGTCGTATTGTTTTTTTTTTTTTTTTTTTCGTAAACCAATGCCCATGGATGTATGCAAATTTTGTAACTTTAAAAAAAATAGTCCAGTGTAATTTTTTTTTAATAGTCAATATTATAATACGGTCATGTATCGAATTATTAATGCACTGGGATTATACCAATAATAATAATAAATAATAAAATATTATCGATTTCTTAGTACGTATATGTATATTATTTTTACCGAACAACTATAAAAAAAAAAAAAATGTGTAACCATTATAATATGATCTCATATTTGCTATTTCGTAAAGATTATTAATTTTATAAATGCGTTTTATTTATTTACTAATGCGAGAAATATGAGTTTTGATTTGTTTAAAAAAAAAAAAAAAATTAACAAATATATTATAAAACAATTATAGATAGCCTAGTCTATGGAGTAAATATGAAATCTTGTACCTATATTATTATAGTGGGGGGACAGATTTGAAGACGTTGGTGCAACAACCAGACATCTCTAGATAAACAAATTAAATATGAAAAAAATAATTGTATATTATATAAATAATCATCGCATAATTCATGTCATAGACATAATATATTTCATGGGTTAATCTGCAGTATAATTGGCCCTCTTAAATATATATCTAATATAACTACAGCTGAATTAATATCTTCATATACCTCTCACGCGATTCTAATTTATAGTCTGCTACTTAATCGTTTTATACATCTATGTGATAAGAATTACGCCATCCTCTGTGATCTAAAAATATCATTCATCTATGACAAAGTTAAGTGGTTTGTCAACAAATATGCACTATAGAGTTGTACAGTAATGCATCTGCTAAGCAACTTCTTGACAACTTGTAAGATACCAGGCGCTCAAACGCATGACGCTGATCTTATCAGAAGTATAACCCCAAACATAATCATATATACACATTATAGAGAATGATTGAAAATTTATGTTACAGTCGTTTTATTATGTAAATATTAAAAATAGAGAAAAATGTAAAATCTACTAGGTTTCAACTCTAGAGATTCAACTCGGGTTTTGGTTGTGGATTACTCATTACGAAGAAAGGAATTTTTAGCTTGAACCACGTTGAGTAGGCTAGAGACATCGTTTTTGAGTTAAACAAAATTGTAATGTTTGCAATTTGGTTTTATTGATGTTGAAGAAAAGATTACTGATTGAGATTCTTTTAGATCTGTAATAGCTTTCATTATGGGCATTCATTGTTGGCAGTTGTTTAGGAGATACAATAATAGGGGAATTCGTATCAGTTGAGCCACTGTTTGACTGGGTTTTGCTATGAGAGGTACATGACGAGACAATTTGGTAGCTAATTAAAGTTGCTCCTTTTAAATTTGAGGATGTAACTAAAAATGCAAATCGAATCGTAATTTGGTGAATACTCCTAGAAGCTATGAGATGCAATCAAA